TGTTTACCCGGAAATGTCACCGAGTAAACATTTACTCGCAACCATCAACTCGACACCGAGTAAATGTTAATCTGATTGCGAGTAAATGTTTACCCGGAAATGTCACCGAGTAAACATTTACTCGCAACCATCAACTCGACACCGAGTAAATGTTAATCTGATTGCGAGTAAATGTTTACCCGGAAATGTCACCGAGTAAACATTTACTCGCAACCATCAACTCGACACCGAGTAAATGTTAATCTGATTGCGAGTAAATGTTTACCCGGAAATGTCACCGAGTAAACATTTACTCGCAACCATCAACTCGACACCGAGTAAATGTTAATCTGCTTGCGAGTAAATGTTTACTCAGGAATTTTACCGAGTAAACATTTACTGTAAGCAGCGTTGTAACTGTAATTTGTCCTTTGTTTTAATTTAACGTCTCTTTACTTACAGCATCGGTGTATGCCGTTTGTTTAACTTAATGTGTACCTTATCATATACCTTACATCTTTATTTACAACAGAGCTAAGACCCCTCCACCGCAGGTCTATTGCACGTTTTATTTTTTGGCTTTCATCAATGACCAAAAAATCGAACCCCACCGCATTTGGTCAATTGTATTGTCTGGTTTATTCGTTACAATAAACCAATTTCTAGTCAATAGAATCACGCTATAGACCAAAATCTGGTTTATTCACAAGCAAGCAATAGAACAGCGACATGGCACTTGCCCATTGGTTCAAATTGGCGCGAACTTGCCGAAACACATCCGGAACCCCCGAAGCCCAAGGTTCTTGTTTACGAAAGCGGAGAACATCGGGCAGCTTCTTTGCTGTAGTAGTTGCAAAGTGGAAGCTTTTTGCAATGGGAAAAGGGAAGCACTGGGATGCAGAGGAAAACGCCTGCTTGGCCAAAGCATTTGTCCATGTCAGCAACGACAGTATTCTTGGCACAGACCAAACAGGCAAGACGTTCCACAGTGCAGTTCACAGCAACTTTGCTGAGCGTGGACGTGAGAAATTTGGAACGAAGCCTGTCCCACCTGGAAAGTATGGGCTTCGAAGGTTAGACTCTTGTCGCCAGCATTTCGCAGATGTCAGTGCAGATGTCTTTCTCTCCTCACCACAACCCACCATCGTCCCACTAGTAGCTCCCCGCGGAGTACCTCCCTCCGCCGCTCTCTTCGTCCTGCGACCATCAATCCGCCCCCGAGTCCGACCCTCCATACACGGACTCCTCCCGCGCGCCCCACGCCTCGTCCTGCGCCTCGCGCCGGCCCGCGTACCTCCGCGCCCGGCCACCCATGTAAGACGCCGCGCCTCCCTCCCGCGCGCTGCCGTGCGCCTGCCCCGCCCCGCCCACCTGCGCAGCGCAAGCCTAGAAGGTGGGACCAACTCAAGATTAAGGGAAATTAGGATAGGGAAATAAAGGAAAATTGGTAAGGAAAAAGGGGACCCCCGAGCGCAAAGGATAAAGTAATCTGTAGTTAAAGGGAATGTCTTGTAAAAGACGGACTTCCACCAAGGCGATATTAGACTCTGGCAACTCCGGTTACCTTTACTGACTTGGTCGTCAGAGGGCTAAGGTAT